GTCGATCTTCTTAAACCTTCCTCCGACGTGAAAGACAAATCTTGGATTGGTCATTCTGAGTCCTGGAACAAAATTCCAACTTTTAATTACCCAACAACCGCCAAACCACAATAAAGTATTGATACAAACAAAATTAAAATTGTGTGTGAAGAGTTGTTACCTACTTCTATTTCGAGAAAAGGGTGGCCCCCAACACAAATTAAAGGAGTCTTTTTCCCAAGTTCTGATCAAGGGGACTAGCCAAAAGAATCAATTTTATATTCAAGGTTTTGTTATGTCACGTGGGTACTATAAAAGGTAGTTTTTGGTTGGCTTTTATAAGAATCAAAAGTTACGTTCTCCCCAGAGCAAGACGAATAAGTAGAACGTCGGGTCCAGATTCTGTGACTAAGGGGTGCTTAGTTACTTGACTAAGCTCTTCACAGCTCTTAGATCTGGACACAACAATCTGACGGTTAAAAAGTGAGAAGGGCTATTTAATTAATGACAGATAAATTTTGGGTATTATGGAAAAATACGAAGTATACAAACTGGACTTACAATAGTACAAACCATACAAACAATACAAACTACAACGACAAAATATACAAACATATTTACAACATTACAAACTTATGAACTATACAAACAATATAAACTAGACCGACAAACAATACAAACCTTACAAAAAAAAACAATCGGGTTGACTTTAGAGGCTCCGTCCCAAAGTCAACCCGGTTTTTTTTAGACATACAAACATTATGAACATGGTGGGAAAAAATGACAAACTAGACCGACAATCCATACAAACTGGAAAAAACACCTGGGTTGACTTTTGAGGCTCCATCCATATATAGAGGAGTTCCATCCAAAAGTCAACCAGGTTGTTTTTAGACATAAAAAATATTACAAACATGGTTGACAAAAATGATAAACATGGTGTACAAAAATAACAAAGCTTACAAGCATTACAAAAGAAACCGACAAACATTACAAAACAACAAAGCTTACAAACGTTACAAAATTAACCGACAAACAATACAAAGCATGCTAACCATACAAAATGTCACTAAAAATGACAAATAAGAATGATAAACAATACAAATCGAATCAATACATACATCACAAAATAGGTCAACAAATATCACAAATCTAGCATAGTCGCCGAAAAATCCTTCTCTATCGTCGCTGGTTGCCGGAAAGTGTCATCCGACCAGGAAAATCTCTCTCTCTCTCTGGAGGGGGGAATTCCCCAGGAAAAAATATTGGCGCATGAACTTGGAGGGGAGAATTCCCCTGGCCGGCAATTGCCCAGAAAACAACTGGGACGAAGACGGGAGGCTGTAACTGGCCGGCGCAAGGGGACAGAGACGGAAACGCTGGCATAATTTTTTTATTCATTTTATAATAAAAAATAAACATGCAATTACTACATTGCTCTTCATTAAATTTGATTAATTAGAAGAGCCCTTAGATTTTAATGAGGTTGAGTGGCTGAGATTCACTTAGCCATGTGACTAAGAGACTCCCCCTTAGTCACCTGATCTCAGCCCTAGAACGTCGACTCTGTATATAAGCCTTCAGTTGGATTGACGGAAAAAGGACAGCTGGCGGTCCTCTGAATCGCTCACCGGAGTGCGTTTATTTATTAGTCGGTCTTCTGCTGGTGATTTGGAAAATTGAATTTCGGGTTTAGTAGACTATCATGACCAGCCGTTGTGGCCAACGATGGCTAGCAAAGAGGTAGGGTTTGGAAGATGGAGGAGTATAAGTTGAACAAGCTCGGAGTTGGATTCACAATGATGTCTCTCGAGTGGGGAAATTACGCTGAAGGGGGAATGGAAAAGAGAGGGGTAAATTTGACCTTTCCAGTCCCGTTTTATTGAGTTCGGACTAGTATGATCAGAGTTGACGGTACCCAAGCGGAAATGTTCACGAAAGGACAAATTTAATATTGTGGTAATAGTAGGAGGGCAAATTTGATGTAAAACATAACAGAAGGGCATATTTGAGAAAAAACCATAGTAGAGGGGCAGTTTATACAATTAACCCTACATTTTCCCCTATACCTAGGGTCCTAACTTTATTGTTTTGACTTTTATGATGATTACCAAGAAAGAAGGATATATTTTTCTAATAATTTTTTGGGTGAGTACGAATTCAAACAAACAAAATAAAATAATAAAAAAACATGCAACTAACATGTTATTCAACATCCATTAACGTCCCTAAATAATAATTAAGTTACAAGTTATTTCAAACAGAATTTAATATACAACTCATAAAAAGATTATCATTCTTTATATCACATTTCATCATCATTATCTCACAAACCATCATTATAGTCAATATATAAGTTGTTCCTGCCTTGCTTCATATTTTTCATATGAAAATATGAAAATTGATGATCCGAACAATTGTTTAAATAATTATCGAAATACCAAAATTATTAAAACATCTTATTACCATCAATGATATTGTATTTCATTCAGTTACCTTAGTTACCTAATTACACCAATTTGTTTGGTTGAATTCTAATTCCAGCATTTGGTAAGGGTAAAAGTCATGAATGCATACATGTGTACAAACCCTAAAAGACATATTCATAGGATGGATTATTTTTCTTTTTCTAACTGTAGCTCTATTTTCATATATCAGAAGGGAAAATGATGAATTTATGTTTTATGAAATAAAATAAATTGATAAATAAAACCTATATATAGTTTTTTTTCTTTTAACAGAGCCTTGAAATGGATTTTTTGAATCCTGTGAATGGATATTATTCGAAAACAATAAAAAAGGTAAAGAAGATAATATAATTTGGAAAATAATTACCTTGATAATTAGGAAAAAAATATATTAATTACTTATCCATGCTAATAATCTGTCACGCATGCAATGCATCCGAATGAACACTTGGCACTTGGCAGTCATATTGTCTAACAGGAGGACCCACGTCTCCCACTAACAGCAAGCACGTCGCAGAGCAGCCGCCGCATCACCGCTGGCGCCGGAGTCGGAGTTCCCCGGCAGGGCCCTATTTTTTCCTCTGTCGTAGAAAACCTCGAAGTCCCCGTCTCTGTTTGTCAACAACTCAAAAACGGCTGGTCCCACTGAGACCCACGTGGCAAGCCCTAATTCCAGCAAAAATAAAAACAAAAAGCAATAATAAGGAAAATTACTTTCATTCTGCGGGATTTCTACTCTCTTTCCTCTATAAACTTGAAAACAAAACAGGATTTCGATTATTTTTCGTCTTTATTTCCAGGTTTTAGTCCAACAAGGTCACGCACAACTGAGAGGTAAAGAGGCCCCTTCTCTCCTAACTCTCTCCCTCAGCCAGAGAAAAATTCCATTCTTCACTGTGTGCTTTGATTCTTTGGTTCTGCTGGCAAGTCATTTCAATTGAGTTGAAATGAAATGAATCCCTAGTTTCCACCCCTCTTCCTAAACAGCAATGGCCATTTCTTCTTAGTTTGGGGTGAATCGGTTCATCTGGTCCATGCATGTAGCCAAGTTCTGAACTTGGGGGGAAGGATTTGGTGATTTTCTTGCGCCTATGAAACACCTTATACTTTCCTGAAATTTTTATTGATGTGGGTATGGTTTGTTTGGTCTCAAGACTCCGAAAGTTCTGATTTTTTTGTTTTTACGCTGTAGTTTCTCACTTTCGAACGCGTTGGTACTTGTGGTTCTGTATGCTGCAGGTGCATGTTACAGTGGCTCTGGTTATGGTAGCAACTGCTTAGTTTTAGCGAGGTTAGCGTTTCTGTTTCAGTTATGGCTTCCGTTTATCGCCGATTTTTCAGTTTCTTATTGAACCCCTTGGTGGTTGATTCCCATTAATGGAATGATGTGATGATGTTATTCAATTATGGGCGCTTGTTCATGATTGTATATGATCCACTCTGTTCTGTTATATTTTTTGGAACAAGTCTTATTTGTTGTTTATCATTTCCTTTCTGTCGTGAATTGAATGCGCATTCAAACTTGAGATTCAACGCTCGGACCACCTGGCTTTAGGTATGGTGTGATGTTGGATTGTTCTGTTTGGGGCAGTTTATACCTGAAAATCGTGGCTCATTGACTGTAGTTTGGATTCGAGCTTTTAGCTGCGGTTTTAAGCTTCTTTGGTTGCCGTATCCCAACAATATACCCTTGCTTAGGTTCAGCCTTCCCTTAACTTTGTTTTGCCTATGCACTATCTTGTTTCACTGTCTGTACGCGGGAAGTTAGTCTCTAAAGTTTTCTTTGGTCTACCTAAGTCTCGAGAGGATATGCTATTACGAAAAATGGGCATGAGATGATCGGCTTGGTATAATGAATCCTAGCAATTGCAAATTCTTATTAGTCCTCCTGTGTGCAATAAATTAATAATGCATTTAGGATTTACTACCATGTTGTTCAGTAGATGCATTTAGGGGTTGATGTTTTATTAGTTAAAATCTAGGACCCTGCCTTGCCAAACATAGGCGTTGTAGATAGATATTCACTTCTTTTCAACAATGGAGATACTACATAGATAGCAACTTTTCCTCCATATAGATTCCGTAGTGCTTTATCTTTTTCCCTTTTTCCCCATATCAAACATTCCGAACCAAGAATCTTAAAATCTACAGTCTTAATGACGCCTTATGTTGCCGCATTTTGGTCACAAGTGAATGATTTCTCTCGGTCAGTTCATAGATTTCTTAGCATTTTAGGACTCAACTATTATAAACAAACATTTACTAGGATAGACTGGAGTAAGGGCGGATTTGGCTGTTTACCATTTGCGGAAGTACATTGATTGATTAAAACCCTTAATCTAACGATCTATGGGTGTTATGGATACTTCTTCCTTTCCTTTCTTTATGTCTGCAATGTTTTCCTGCATGTTATCATTCTAGCACTCTAATATTGCTGTCACACACTTGTTTCCTAATCGGTTCCTCCACTGCTAATTCTATTTGCCCCTTCAGGAAGAATAAATCCATCGGAAGGCAGTAAGGAAGTCTTGATATCAACATTATCGGCTCGACATGAGCGAGGCAACTGTAGTTTATATTAATAATCCAAATGCTTCTTCGGCAATTGTCCCCGTGAAACGTAGGCGTGGTCGTCCGCGCAAGCATCCTAAAGTGGATCATCTTGATCACAGCAGAACTTCCCATTCTAATTTTTCATCTGGAGGAGGGGTCAACGGGAGTCATCAGCCCAATTCAGTGAATAATAATGACATTATGCTTGGTCAACCTGTCGTTGGTGTTATCGAAGCAGTGTTTGATGCTGGGTACTTGCTCAGTGTCAGGATTGGCAACTCAGGCACCAATTTGAAGGGTGTTGTATTCAAACCCGGGCACTACATTCCTGTTTCAGCTGAGAACGACATTGCCCCTGATGTTCGAATGATACCAAGAAACGAGTTTCCTATTCCTAGAGAAGTTAATACACCGATCCGTCGCCGTCGTTATCGTACTAGAGAAAGGAATGGGACTTCTCGTGTGACCCCACGTGCGGTGGCCTCAAGTGGCAACCAGGTACTGCCTTTGATAACACAAACTGCTGCTTCCCCTGGGATCTCTAGAGGCAATGTGGTGCCTGTTGTGCTCCATCCTGTTACTACTGTGTCAAATGGGGTAGCAATCAACACCAGCGAGCCATCTTCGGTTGCTATGGCTCCTCATATGATGACGGCTATCTCTAAGGGGAAGGGTGTTCCAAATGTAGCTGCTGATCCTTTATTAAGTGGACCGTCGTCGTTTGCACAACAGCTGGCAGAAGCTGAAAAGCAGGCTCAGACCAGTTTTGTACACAATAGTTCAACAACAACGAAGCCTCAGCATGATGCAGGAGGCAAGTGTACACAATCCGCAGTAGGTATGCATTTCGAGAAACTTTTATCTGACGTGATGATGAAGAGAGTTGAAATACCATCATCAGAATCGCCAGAAAATAATAGCAGCTTTCCTGGTACTTGTTTGTCTGTGAAAGATTCGGGCCTTGCTATGGGAGATGACGAGGAAGAAGAAGACGAGTACCAAGAAGATGATGATGACGAAGATGATGAGGAGGATGACGATGACACAGATCAGCCTCTTACTGTTGAGCCCCTGCGGTCTATACAGCCCAATCTTAACAACCCACCTGCTGATGTCTCAGCCCAGCATATGGGGAGCTACATGACAGGCAAGATGACTGAGCTATTACAGGTATCAATCGAGTATTTGAAGCTGTCTATCTCGTGGTTCTTCTGCTGCATGTCAGTGAAACTATTTGGAACTTACTTTTCATAACTGATATTAATGATTTGCATGATTTCTTGCAAAGGTTGTGCAGAAGAACGTGATGGAAAACCAGGTAGTGCAGGCTGGGCAACCGAGTCAGTCTGGAACTGAGCAGGGAGTGAAAGCCGATGGTTTATAAAACTTCCCAGAAAACATTGCAACCCAAAATCATGGTTATCAAAAGAGGTTGTGGCAGTAGTTAGTTGTTGCCATTAAATACAGACAGTCCTTGGATTTAAGAGTAGCCGATAGTGGTTTTAAGTTTCAACAACATATGAACTTGTGAGGCTGTAGAGAAACTGGATGTTCTTACTGTTTACAATCCTATATATGAAGAGAAGGGACGCATTTTCTTTGAGATTTGACAGATGTATGTGGTCCGCCTAGCAGAAGAAGTGCAAAAGCTTGCTGTTCCCTGTCTATCTACGGCCTCTATGGAGATGCTCTCTTGTTTTTTTCTTATATCCAGCTGCGAGTTTTACGATCCTCCTTATCACCCATACAATGTCATGAACTTAAACTGCATTGACGTTTTGCGGATGACCTTCTCGCATCTTAGGGTTGGATTCATCCCGTGGAGGTGCATGATGGTGACTTGATTCGTTCTTCAACTGTTGTACATGGTTTATGGGCAAAGGTTTACCCCGGCAACCTTACAGAGCATCATGCGCCAGTTTTAAATCGGTTCTTTTCCTCGGCAACCTTACAGAGCATCATGCGCCAGTTTTAAATTCGGTTCTTTTCCTGTACGATATTTGAGAGTGTGATTACGGGCAAATTGAGAGTCAGGATTGTGACATTCTTCTGCCTCAAGTGGTGAGTAGTAATGTAGGGTCTCAGCCTTCCCGTTACATACTTGACCATGGCTATTTGTCACAACAACGCCATAAGCCGCCTCCTGGGAATCGTGCAAGAACGATCCATCACAGTGTATCTCAAAGTCATGAGTACTTGGCGGTGGTGAAGAGAGCTCCGGTGGTGGAATAGGCTGCGATGAGGGATGAGTGGATGTCTTTTTCAAAGGAAAAATACTCCAATGGTGAAAGCTCCTTTGGGCATTTGCAATAGTCGCCGGAGGCCACAATGCACGGTTCTTGAAAAGACACTCGTTCCTTGCTTTCCAAGTATGCCACAAAAGATAAATGATTTTTTGGATTGAGTGGGGGATACCTTTGTCCAAGGGAGAAGATCCATAGTAGGATGTCAGTGGACCGCGTGGGAACCATCTGAGTGGGCCATTCAACTCTCCAACCTTCCGCTGCATGAGGGCATTCAAATAAACAGTGATGGATGGATTCCGCTGGCGCTGCGCACAGCGGGCAAACCTTCGAAGGAGAGCATCGTCTAGAGTGAAGGTTTTCCTTTGCGGCCAGGGCCCCTCTGCAGCTTCTCCAAAGGAAAATTTTCATCTTTGGAGGGAGAGACAGATTCCACAACCATTTCCACACGTCTTTATTCTGATTCATGGCTGTCTGGGGAGCTCCCTAGGCAAGTCTGTTCTGATTGTGGAAGTAGTGAAAAGCATATTTGACTGTGAAATTTCCTTTATCAGTGCACCACCAAGCCCAAAAGTCTTCCAAAGAAGCTGGCCCAATCGGCGTGCTTCCGATCTGTTGTAATGCTTGAGGCGGAAGGAACTCTCCCAGCAAGTCAAACTTCCAGGTTCTGTTGACCTCATCGATCCAGTGATCGCCCGTACCCGGGAAGGAGGATCTTTGATGAAGGAGCGGTCCTAGTCGATCAAATAACCAGGGGTCTTGAAATGCCCTTGTTGATTTTCCATTCCCAATCACTCGGATCAGCCCTTGCTCCATCCATCTTTTCGCTTCCCAAAGGCTGGACCAAATCCACGATGCTTTCCCACCTTTTTTTGCCGAGAGGAAGTCCGTCTTGGGAAAATACAGGCCTTTGAGTAACTTAACCCAGATGGTGTTAGGATTGGTGAGAATCCTCCAGCATTGTTTAGCTAGAAGGGCAAGGTTAAACTCGTGAAATGGTCTGAAGCCGAGACCTCCCTCCCCCTTAGGGTCGTATAGTACTCTGCCGTCTCTCCAATGGATGGTCTTCTTATGTGCCGATCCTCCCCAAAAAAACCTCTTGAGCATCGAGTTCATCTTCTTCGTTGACGATCTGGGAAGTAAGAAAAGGCACATAATGTAGGAGGGCAATGCTTGGAAAACTGCTTTCAGGAGCGTTTCCTTTCCCCCAGGTGAGAGTAGTAGACTTTTCCATGACTCACTTTTACATTCCAAACGTTGAATGAGAAAGCTAAAAGTCTCGGCCTTCGATCTTCCCCATTCTGTTGGCACTCCCAGGTACTTGGAGTGGCAACTAGAATCAGCAAACCCAATGTTTCTAGTGATATTCTCTTTTTCCTCAGGGCTCACATTACTGCTGAAGAAGGAAGATGATTTCTCCCTGTTCACTTCTTGCCCAGTGATCGCCCCGTACTCTTGTAAAGTCTTCAAAATACTGTCCGCTTCTGTGGTAGATGCTTCCCCAAAGATCACCGTGTCATCCGCAAAGAGGCAATGTGTGAGGTTGGGGCATCTTTGATTGAGTTGCAGTCCTCGGATGGCATGACTTTTTGCCGCTTTCTCAATCAAGAAGGAGAGTGCATTAGACATCAGAATGAAGAGAAGAGGCGACAGCAGGTCCCCTTGACGTAATCCTCGAGTAGGGAGGAACATAGTAGATGGTTCCCCGTTAATCAGGAGTTGAAACCTAACAGAACTGATGCACGTGTTGACCCAACCACACCACACCTCGTTGAAACCATAAGCTCGAAGAAGCTCGATGAGAAACTCCCATTCAACAAGGTCGTATGCTTTCTTCATATCAAGTTTCAGCATCATGTCCTTCCGATTCCCTGTTTTGTGCTTCTTGAAGTGATTGAGGACCTCGTGAACAATGATGATGTTAACTTGTATCTGTCTGCCTCCAGTGAAGGCAGATTGCAGTTCATTAACCAGATCAGGGAGAAATGGTTGAAGCCTGTTGGTAAGGATTTTTGTGATGACCTTATATCTGAAGTTGCAGCAACTGATAGGTCTGTACTGTCCGATCATCTCGGGATTCAAGATTTTTGGGATGAGAGTGATGAAGGTGTCATTCCACTCTTCTGGCAAAATGTCAGACATGAAGAAACCACGTATCTCTTCACAGAACACCTCGCCCAGTAAGTTCCAAAACTTATGGAAAAAGAATCATGGAAAGCCATCAGGGCCTGGCGCTTTGTTGGCTCCAAGGTGGAACACCGCCTTCCGGACTTCTTCATTCGTAATCGGTGTGGTGAGAGCATTGTTTAGCTCAACCGTGACCATTCGAGGAAAGCCATCGAGGATAGAGCGATCGAAAGTGCCTCCTCGACTTATGAAAAGACCACGATAGAAGGAATTGATATGGTCATCCACTTCTTGCGTGTCTTCTATCCAGATTCCTTGATCACTCTTCAGTTTGTTGATTCTATTTGAGTTTTTCCTTTTGATTATGCTGGCATGAAAGAACCCCGTGTTCTGGTCCCCTTCTTGGAGCCATGAATTTATGGATCTCTGCGCCCAGAACTCTTCTTCCTCGTTCCACATCATCTGTAGTTCCTGGTGAAGAGAATTCTCTTCCATTTTCATTTGGATAGTTCTGTGTGGCCCTTGCACCTATTGAAGCCTCTTCTTGATATCGTTCTCTCTAAGACATTTACTGGCTCTTTCCTTTCTGGCCCAGGTTGATATTTTTTCCTTGCAATCCCTGAGGATACAGTGAACTCTCTCCCTGAATTCCAACAGTTGCTAATAATCTCACCACAAGTCTCGTTTTCCTTCCATCTTTTATCGAACCTGAACGGGGTATTGATTTTCCTTCTTTTGGGATTCAAATCAATCCTAATTGGATAGTGGTCTGCCTCGACGAAATCCTCATGGAAAACCACCGAGGACTCAAACTCCAACCTCCAGGCAGGGGAGCAGAGTCCGCGATCCAGCCTTTCTCTAATCAGCCTGGCATCTTGCTGTTTGTTGGTCCAGGTGAATGGTTGCCCAGAAAAACCAAGATCAATGAGGGCATTTTGCTCGATAGAGTACTTGAAAGGGGTGACATTCTCATTCCTGAGGGGGCATCGCCCCTGTTTTTCCGACGGAACCAATGCCACATTGAAATCACCAACAAGCAACCATTTTTCATCCTGGAGCTCTCTTAGGGACGTAAGTCGTTCCCAAAGAACCCGTCTCTCTACCACCATGGTAGGAGCATGGATGAAAGTGCAAAAAAAAAAAACTCACCCCTTCCTTACACACACGAATGTCCATATAGGACTTACAAGAATCCAAAACACACACATCAACATCATCCCTCCACCAAAGCGCCAAACCGCTGCCTTCAACTCCTGGGCTGACATAATCCGAATGGTCAAACTTCAATGATCTTCTTTTATCTTCAAGAAAGGACTCATCCTTTTTTGTTTCCATCAAGAACACCATTGAAGGGCCGAATTTTCGACATAATCTGCCGCAATAACTCCTTGTAAGGGGCTGGCCATACCCCCTATAGTTCCAACTGATTATCCTCATTCTTGGAGAGGCGGCTTAAGGCTTGTCGCCGCTTCCTTTGGTGTTTTTTACTCTCCTTCCCCAGACTGTTCGCCATCAGCATTGATCTCCGCTATGCTTCTTCTCCTGATAACGTGCCTCCTCCTTTGATAGGTTTTGTTTCTTTCACCTGGTGAAAAAGACAGAGACTCAATAGGGATGTTAGTGGGAGTGCCTTGCAGCGGGAGGGAGAAGGTGGGTGTGTCCCTCTTCTCTGGTTTCCTTTTCTTTTCCGGTCTGGGTCTTATTTCCTCCACTGTTTGAATCGAGAAGGCTTCAGTAGCTATGATTGGGCTTAGAGTCCTTTGCTCGATGTGGCCTGGCTGCTGCACATCTGTCTTGTGGGCCTGAAAACCGGGGTCTTGTGAGTACAACGGGCTTGCAAGAGATAGCATCTGGCCCATTTCGAAAAGGCCCGCCTGTTTGCTTCTTGTCGCCTCCCTCCAGTTAGGTCTAGGCTTCTCTGCATCGCAATTGTCGCCGCCTCCATTTCTTTTTCCATATAGCCGATCTGCAGGGTCAGAGTGTGGCTTCTGACTGCTCTTCTCTGAATCCATTCGTTACTCCTTATCGTGGTTGTTGCTTCGTTTTCCAATGCTGCAAAACCAGGTGGGCAGGAGGAAGATCCCTGACCAGTGCACCCCACCATCGACATCAACGATGATCCTCCAGTTGATTCTCTCAGGCGGTGGGCCCTAGAGTCAGCCCTGTCTCTTTGTCTCTCTCCAGCTTGTTTCTCTCTGAAAGATGCTGGCGGCGTGTTGGCCGGAGAGTCATGCCCTACCTTCAGAGCTGCTGTGTACATTTTCGATGGGTCGGTGCTCAACCCTTTTCTACGGCAGTCTTCTCTCTCTAGGAAGTTTTGGATAAGATGGCCTAGCTTTCCGCAGAAGTAGAACAGGTCCATGATCCTCTCGTATTTGAAGCTCACGCAGATGGACCTTTCTCCCAGGGGGTATTCGAAGCCGATCGAAATTGGTTTGTCAAGCTCCACTTCAACTTTTGCCCTTATGAATTTCAGCCATCCTCGAAAGTCA